TGAGGGGGGGGCATAAAAAGAAACCAGTGGGAACACCACCAGTAAAGCAAGTGCAAAACCAAGGGTTGGTGTCTGAAAAACTTCCAGAGTCCCTTCCAAAGCAGCCTGAGGAATAAAGAGAGAGGGAAGAGGTAGAGATATCTCAGCTTCCCCTTGCTCCAGGCCAGCAGAGGAATTAGGTGGGATGAGGTCAAAAGAAGAGAAAGGCAAGGACAGAATTCTGATTAGATTACAACCCACAGTAAAACAAGACTTGCTATGGGATAGGGAGAATGGAAGATGACCATCCAAAATCCACAAGGTGAGCTCTGAGGTAGAGCTCTGAGGTAATCACTATATATTTGACATTCTTCTTGCTGATCCATGTTTCTCAAATCCCCATCTTAGAATGACAGTTGTAACCAACAAATTCCACAAGCATACGAGTGCAACCTGCCTGTGTCTTTTTTTATTCATTTAAGGAGAAAAAAATGTTTCCTTTTCCATAACTTGCTGTGTGGCATATGCAAATGTTTAAATATGAATGATTAATAATGCTTTGAGCACAGCAATTGTGTGGCATGTACATAATCTCTGTGTTAAAATGCTGTCGAATCACAGCTGATTTATGGAGACCTGAGCACTAAACATTTTTTTTTTTTAACAGATATGGAGGACTGTATAAATTGCCCAGAAAATCAGTACCCAAGTAAGGACAAAGATCAATGTATTCCCAAGAGAATCATCTTTCTATCTTCTGATGAACCCCTAGGGATCTGTTTAACTTTAGCTGCACTGTCTTTTTCCCTGATCACTGTGTGGGTGCTGGCAATTTTTATTAAGCACAGAGATACCCCTATAGTCAAAGCCAACAACCGGGATATCACCTACGCTCTCCTTGTCTCTCTCTTCCTCTGCTTCATTTCTTCTTTGCTGTACCTTGGACAACCTACCAAGGCGACCTGCTTCCTCCAACAATCAGCTTTTGGCATCATCTTCTCAGTGTCTGTTTCTTGTGTCTTGGCCAAAACCATCACTGTGGTTGTCGCTTTCATGGCCACCAAACCAGGGTCCAGAATGAGGAAATGGGTGGGGAAAAGACTGACCAACTCTGTCATCCTTCTTTGCTCCCTTATTCAAGTAGCCGTATGTGTATTGTGGCTTGGAACCTCTCCCCCATACCCGTATTTAGACATGAAGTCCCTGGATACACAGATGGTAGCAGAATGTAATGCTGGGTCTGCCATCATGTTTTATAGTGTTTTGGGCTACTTGGGACTTCTGTCCCTTATCAGTTTGACCATGGCTTTCCTGGCCAGAAAGTTGCCAGACACGTTTAATGAGGCCAAATTCATCACCTTCAGCATGCTGATGTTTTGCAGTGTTTGGTTGTGTTTTGTTCCAACCTACCTGAGCACCAAAGGGAAATACATGGTAGCGGTGGAGGTCTTCTCTATCTTGGCTTCCAGTGCCGGGTTACTGGGCTGCATCTTCTCCCCTAAATGCTACATTATTCTGTGGAGGCCTGAGCTGAATCAAAGAGGACAGTTAATACGAAGAATAAATTAGCAAATCTAAGTATCCTATTTTTTCTTCTTCTGCCATGTTTAAGAGTTACCTTGAGGTCTTATTCTCTCATTTGTACTGTGTGGCTAATTAGCTCTCCTGTTTTTCAAGAGATTTGCCTCCAGTCCCTGAACAATAAGATTGTTTCAGATTGTTTCTTTAGGTGGCTTTCCCTTTCCAAGATATATACACAGATGTAACTAAACCAAGGGTGCGATCATACATACCAAAATTGGCGGCAACGGTGCGATTCCCCCACAGAGTAAAGAGACGAGATCTGACAGAAACATCTGTCCAGCATCCTGGAGTCATTGTTGCGCCATAGGAGCATGGAAAAAAGCCACCGGGGAAAGGCTACTATTATCTGGAACTGCAGGGCACAAGGGCAGAAGTCTGATTGCACAAATGCGTGTCATTTTGGCCTGGGGAAAACAGCCTCACTTCCTGCCGGCATTTTCTCACTCATGTGACCGCAGCCCAAGTTCATTACCTGCAGCATGTTTTGCTGTGTTTGGGTGTCTTTTGTTCTGATCTAGCTGACCACTAAGGAGAGATACCCGTCACTCATGATGATCTTCTGAATTTTAGCTGTCACCACTGGGTTACTGGCTTGCATCTTTCCCCCAAATTCTACATTATAATGCTGACACTTGAGCTGAGCAAAGTAGAAGAGTTACCACACAATGTGGCCAATGACAGCACCCATTTATCTCCTGCCTGACCAGGCACAGTGCACCTGGCATGCAGTAACAGAACATTAATTCTGCTTGTGACTTCGGCTTCCATTGGGCCCAGTGTGTCTGATCAAGAACACTCCAGTGCCTCCTGTCTCTCCATCTTGCTCTTTCCCCTCCGGCAAGTGAGGAAGCAGGGGAATATAGGGGTTTAGGGCCTCTTTCCGGGCCTTATTTTGCCTTCCTGAACACCCCTGCTTCTCCCCTATTTTCCACAGAAAGGCCCTCCTGACTGTCCTATCGATCAAAGATGTCTGTTTGATGGGTATACAAGAGAGGGCCCGTTCAGTGGCTGCCCTTTGATTATGGAATGACCTCCTCCGGGAAGGGTGCCTGGCCCCCTCACTTTCGATCTTTGGGGTGCAGCTTTAATTAAAGCACTCCTAAATTGTTATTTTTATTTTTTTTCCCATTTTGTTTTATGGAGATTGCAAGCCACTTTGAGCTCTGTAGGAAGAAAGGCAGCTAATAAATATTTCAAATATCAAATACATTAAATAAATACATGACCAACAAATCTCCAGACTACAGAAATCAGTTCCCCTGAAGAAAATGGCTGCTTTGGAGGGTGGACTCTGCGGCAGAGTACCCCAGTCAGGTCCCTGTTCTCCTCAGGCTGCATCCTCAGAGCAGTAGGACACAGGGAGGGGAAAACAAATTTGACCCAATACCTGGAATCAGGAACCACAAGGGTAAGAAAGAAGTCTGACAAAGGGTCAATATTAGAAACCCTCCCCACAACAGACACCCTGTGAGGTAGGTGGGGCCAAGAGAGCTCTTTCGAGGACTGCGCTTGAGAGAACAGCTGTGGGAGTACTTCTGACCGACCAATTGTTACACCAGCAGCTGCATGCGGAGGACTGGGGAATCAAACCCAGTTCTACATATTAGAGTCCATGCTCCTAACCACGACACCAAACTGGCTCTCCAGTTCTGGTCCAGAAAATACCTATGTGACTATCTAATCAGAGCTGGAATGGCCACAGCAAGGAGCAGTGCTTTGGGTAAGTGTGGCTAACTTATAGCTTGGTACTGGATGATGCAATCCTAGTGTAATGCTTAGTCATGGCTGATGGAACCCCAAAGGAATGCTTAGTCATGGTTACATATAGGCTCACTGACTATGTGGCAGTAGATACAGACATTAAATCCATTTGAACATTAAATCAATTTAACACAGGAAGAGCAAAACAAATATTAGGCTGTCCTAAATTCACACTACACACCAGTCCACCTGTTCATTTAAGGCATACAAAGTTAAATATTTAAGAGCGTGAATCCAAAATTGTTCTCTGTCCTTGTGGAAATTAGAAGCCTGGACTTGCTCCAATGCCAAGAAAAGAAGGTCTCTCTTGCTGTGGCCAGCTGTTGTAAAATGATCCACCAATGATACATTTCTTTGCTTTAAAATTCTCAGCAAAAATCTATTTTTTTTTTTTTGCTATGACACTTTTAAGCAAAGAAAGTACTCAGTTAAAGAGACAGTTTGGTGTAGTGGTTAAGTGTACAGACTCTACTCTGGGAGAACTGGGTTTGATTCCCCACTCCTCTACTTGCAGCTGCTGGATGACCTTGGGCAAGCCATAGTTCTGTCAGAGCTGTCCGTAAATGGACAGTTCTCTCAGAGCTCTCTCTGCCCCACCTACCCTACAGGGTTTCTGTTGTGGGGAGGGGAAAGGAAAGGAGTGTGTAAGCCACCCTGAGACTTCAAGTGAAGGGCAGGGTATAAATCCAATCTCCTTGTTGTCATCTTCTTCATCCTCATATATGCAATTGTATGTAAAGCTGACCTTATCTATGTGGGGTATAGACTGATTATGATCAGGATAGGGGAGCATAGAAGCTGCATCCATCTGAAAAAGAAGAATACACCATTGGTGAGTCTTTTTACAAAAATAATTCCTCAGCTTGATAATACATGGTTGGAATAGTGGACTCTTGCTGGGGAATTAGGTGGTTAAACATACCGGGTAACTGTGGATGAAATGGAAATAATTATTTTAAAAGGATGCAGGCTGAAGTTCCACGACAAGACTAAATTGCACTGGATTGACTTCTAAGCAAGCACACTTAGAAATGCACTCCACGAAAATGAAAAAGGGCTTTGTGTTTCTAATCATCCGGCAAAAAACTTCTTCTCGGGCAGTAACTGTCTGGGAGGTATTTGCTCACCAGGGAAACCTGAAAGCCATGGGCAATTTTGAGCCACTTCAGAACAGAGGAGACTTGTGTGCTCAGATGGGAAGAAAAAACATATTTGCTATAAAAGTTATTACTGAGAGCCCACATTCTGTAGACATGATGCTTTCCCATAGGAATTATTCAAATCACTGTAATTTATCCACCTGGCCATGGCTGCAGTGGCGCTTGGGAAAGTTCAAACACAATAAAGAAGCAGGTTTAATGGTGATTACTACAGTACTCATGTGCAATTCAATGCTGGAATAAGGAGCTATGTCACTTGGATGTCGGACAGTTTGCTTCGCTGAAAGGTCAGAATGCTGGCAGTGCCACGGGCATTCTGAAGGTCTGCATTCCTACAACTGAGCCATATACTTGTCTTCAGACGTACATGGCCAGACTCAGCTGCTCTCCAAGAGAACTTGACTGAGACAACTTGATGCTATAGATAGAAAGAGGAGAGGCTGGGTTGCTGTCCAGATGTTGCAGCGACTGGTGTTCCTGTTACTTCTGCCTTTGATTTCATGCATAGTTGATAGGATGAAGTGCACCAGGAAGGAGATCCTCATTCCACATGAATGGTACCAGCCGGGGGACCTCCTGATTGGTGGGATCGCTTCTCAGTTCATTTACCAACTACATGGACTACTGTTTGAGAAATATGTGTCTCAAGAGATCTTTGAAGTCACAGAGTAATGATGTTTTATTTTTCTCATGCTTATTGTAGTCTTAAACCCTAATAATTGTTCACAGACTTTCAAAAGAACCTGGAGAATTGTTCTAGGCCACCACACTGCTTATTAGATAAGATTTATTGCCTTAGCCATAGGCCATAACAAGTCACACCATGGCTTAATAAAAAAAATACATCAGACTATAAAATGACAATGTAGGCACTAAAAAGATCAGTAACTGCATTAAATCCTATACTTCTACTTTACATTAAATACTAGGCTCATTCTGATTTTCCTTGATGCTAAGGCAAATAGTGCCATTGTACTAGAAACATAGTGGTCAAGGCACGAGAGTAAAAATTTGACCAAATCCAGATCGGAGAGTCCATTACTTGGTGGAATAATAGGTATGATGTACCTTAACCTAGGAGCTTCATGCCATGGGCATCTCAAAATATAATGTCCTACATCGTCTACTTCCCCCGTGTCACAAAGACAAAGTCTAAAGGGGGCAGGGATACAAAAAATGTCCAGTCCTGATCATTGAGGGTACGGATTGAAAACTTAAACCTGTAAAAGCTGATCTTAATTCCAGGATGGTTAACTTCTCTAAATAGGTAAAAGGTAAAGGTTCCCTTGCTCGAAAGCCAGTCGAATCCGACTCTAGGGTTGCGGTGCTCATCTCCGTTTCAAAGCCGAAGAGCCAGCGCTGTCCGAAGACGTTTCCGTGGTCATGTGGCCGGCATGACTAAACACCAAGGCGCACAGAACGCTGTTACCTTCCCACCGAAGTGGTACCTATTTATCTACTTGCAATTTCTTGCTTTCGAACTGCTAGGTTGGCAGGAGCTGGAACTAGAGACAGGAGCTCACCCTGTCTTGCGGCACCCGGGTCTTGAACCGCCGAACTACTGACCTTCCACAGCCTGCAGTTCAGCGTCTTAACCACTTGAGCCACCGCCTTCTCTAAATAGAGGGACCTGCAATAATCCTTTTAAAAAAACTTAAATAAGGGTGCTGTAAGACAGTGTGCCAACACATCCTGATCCATGAGTCCATCCCTTTTGAACACCCATTCTTTCAATTCCCATTATTGGGTTTTATTCCTTAATAAATCATCAGGAATTGAAAATTTCAACTGAACCAAAGCCAAGTAGTCACCTAGACTCTTGGAGGCTTTCAAAAGCATACTAAAACTTAAACCCCCCAAGGAATCAATTCCTTCCTGAATCTAATCAATCTGTTTGCAGCACATATGAGCTTTCTTCTCCCATAGATTTATATACTGTAGTGAGCCAAAAGCAAATGGAAAGAATAAGTTCTGATTTTAAATGACTATATTTTCATATAGAGATGTCTATGCTTCAGTCCAGACTGGTACAAAAATGGAAAGTAGGGAGATGGAAATAAATACCCCTCAGGGTTCCAATATAGGTGGTATTGAAAATAATTCTGAAAATTGCAAAAGTGGTATGCAAAGTTCAGAATGGAATGTCAAAAAATGTTGTTAACACTGTTGGCGGTGGGTTTTGAGATAGGTGGGAGTTTTGGATCTCACATTGATGGCGATATCTGCTTTCAGGGACTGAAATCCATTCTTGAGAGGCATACAGCGGTGAAGTGAGTTGTTTGGTGGAGTTCTCCTGAATGAGGAGGAAAGTGAAAATATTGCCTAGCTGTAGGAAAAGATGGCAAAATGGCCACAATGCTCAATGTTACACAGAGCCAAAGATAGACATGCTTGTGTCACACCATTATTTTCATACCAAGGATCATTACTGGAGTACCAGTATTACACACAGGTGAATGCTCTAGTCTGGCCTGGAGGTCACAGTAACACTGATTACCAAAGACGGCCTGGTTGAATCTAATAAGGCAACAGCTGCCACCTTCTAACCTCATTAACTTCCAAGGGTATAGGTCTACTAAAGGTTGCGTTCTGAATACTTTTGCACACTAAGGGTGGGGTATAAATCCAATCTCTTCTTCTGTTCCTCTTCTTCTCTTTAGAACAGAAATGGTATTCTAATGCTTAACAGGAATTGTTTGTGCTTAAGAAAGGGAAACTGTGTGCTTTGCCTCAGACAACTCACTTCTTCATAGTGACCAAATTTATTTCAAGGCAGAATATATTTAAAGTGTTATTAAATGATAGGGTGCAAAAATCTTTTATTTCTCTTTGAAGTATGACAACCAAGTTTTACCAGCACCCCCTGGCCTTGGCATTTGCTGTTGAGGAGATCAACATGGATCCCAAGATCTTGCCTAATGTTACACTCGGGTTCCACATCTATGACACGTACAATGATGATAAGATGATCTACCGCACCACACTGGATCTACTGTATAAATTCCATAGATACGTTCCAAATTATGAATGTGACCACCAGAAAAATCTAATGGCCATCATAGGGGGGTTGGAATCCGATGTCTCTTTCCACATGGCAGACATTCTAGGCCTCTGTAAGATTCCACAGGTAGGTTATTTGCATGGAAGAATGAGAGATTTTGCATGGAAGAATGAGAGATTTTGACATTACTGGGAATGGTTAAGATGGAGACAGAGACGTATCTGAGGGGGAAAAACAAAATGTTTTCTTGAGCTCAAAGAAATAAAATAAACGGAAACTTTTCCCAAAGTGGGAGATGTGAAAATGCTATAGAAAGTGATTTTAATACATCCACCCTCCACAATCATTACTCACAAATTGCCCCTCTTTTCAGAACATTCAGTAGTAAACAGTCACAGATGTACCTGATAATGAATTTCAAACATTTCTCTTTGTTTCCTTTTAGCTCACATATGGGTCATTTCCCCAAGTGGACAGGGACAACACAAACTCCCCTTCCTTCTACCGCATGGTTCCCAGTGAAGCCCATCAGTACACAGGGATTGTCCGGTTACTTCAGCACTTTGGATGGACATGGGTCGGGATCTTTGCTGTGACCAGCGATAGTGGAGAACATTTCATCCAGGAAATGGAGCCATTGCTTTTCCAACATGGGATCTGTGTATCCTTCACAGAAACGATTGCAAACCAAGGTCGCTGGAGTGACTTGCATGATTTATATGACCAAGCATTCAATAAATATCCATCTTTAATGGATAACAGAACCAATACATTTATTTTCTATGGAGAAGCTATGAGTATTATGTCACTGAACACAGTTCTATATGTAGGTTATCCTGAAATACTGGAAAACACTTCATTTAGAAGGGTGTGGCTTATGACAGCTCAAGCTGATTTTGCATTACAGGGTCTCCAAAGAGCCTGGGGTCTGGAATTCTTCCAAGGTGCAATCTTCTTCTCAATTCACTCTCAGGAACTAACAAGATTCCAGACATTTCTTCAAAAATTTAACCCTTTTTTGATACAAAGAGATGGTTTTCTCAAAGATTTCTGGGAACAAGCATTTGACTGTCAACTTCCAAATTCCCAAGAATCATCACAGATTAATGAAACCTGTACTGGGGAGGAGAAGCTGGAAAGCCTTCCTGGGCCTGTTTTTGAGATGCAGATGACTGGCCACAGCTACAGCATCTATAATGCAGTCTATGCCATAGCACATGCTCTGCATGACATGTATCTATCCCGCTCCAACCCCAAGTCAATGGTGGGTGGTGGCAAAAAAGTTGACCTTCGTGATCTCCATCCTTGGCAGGTAACACCTTCCCAAAGAAAATGTGTGTATTGCCATTAACATGTGAGTACAAAGTGAAACAACACAACACAAATAGATATTGAAATAAATAATCAAACACATTGATCTTTGGGGGGGGGGAGTGGGTTCTCAGTTCATGCTCATCATCCTTCCATGGCTTTCTTAGCTAATTTAAACAAGTTGGTCGAGCTTGGAAGTCAGGGATGCATAGAACTTCACAAAATGCAATCAGGGATTCAGCTTATGTTTGGCATGAAATAACCAATCCCCTCTCCCCAAAAAGCCTCTTCTTTAATTACTTTGAAGTTTTGTTTGCAATTCAAAGCCAGAAATGTTTTGAACAACTCTGAATTTGAGCAATAGCATCATTCAGCATGGCAGGGGGACCTCTATTCATCTCATGTGTTTGAGACTCCATGCCATATATGTCCTGGACTTAGGATGTGTTAAGGAGCTGCTGTTGTTCAGTCACACAGTCGAGTCCGACTCTCTGCATCCCCATGGATCAGATCACGCCAGGCCTTCCTGTCTCCCGCCGTCATCTGAAGTTGGCTCAATTTCATGTTCAATTTCATCTATGACACGGTCTAAGCATCCCTGGATGTATCCCTGGATTCATCTTGGTGTTCCAAGATACTACTGTACAAACATTAGTAAGCTGCAAAATAAGTATATTTTCAAGACATATTTGGCACTTGTTGTTGTTCAGTCGCACAGTCGAGTCCAACTCTTCGCGATCCCATGCACCAGATCACGCCAGGCCTTCCTGTCTTCCGCCGTCCTCTGAAGTTGGCTCAATTTCATGTTTGTTGCATCTATGACACTGTCTAACCATCTCATCCTTTGCCATCCCCATCTTTTTTGACCTTCAATCTTTCCCAGCATCAGGGTCTTCTTCTCCAGCGAGGGCTCCCTTCTCATTGGGTGGCCAAAGTATTTAAGCTTCAGTTTCATTATCTGGCCTTCCAGGGAAAAGTCAGGGTTGATTTCTTTTAGGATTTGACTGATTTGATCTTCTTGCAGTCCAAGGGACTCTCAAGAGTCTTCTCCAGCACTATAGTTCAAAAGAATCTATTCTTTGGTGCTCAGCCTTCCTTAAAGTCCAACTCTCACAGCCATACATGACTACTGGGAATACCAGTAAAGGAGACCTTGGCTCAAATTCTGATAGAGCCTTGAAACTAGCTGCAGGAACTTGGGCTAGTCCCCTGATCTCAATCAAACCCCTCTCAAATGGCTGTTGGAAGGGTAAGACAGAGTACAGGGCAATCATTTATTTTACTTTCAGCTTAGAATTGGGAGAAGGTGATTGATTACTATGTCATGAATGACTATAGTACTCTGTATTAAAAGCTGTTTTCATGTTGGACATGCTGCTTTCCCTCCTGTGCCACACGTGACAACTATTTGGCGTGGTATTGGGTAGGGGGGATGGCTCAGTGTCAGAACATCTGCTCACTATGCAGAAGGTCACAGGTTCATTCCCTGGAACTCTAGCTCAAAGGATCAGGAAATAGGTGATGTGAGAGAACTCTGCCTGAGACTTTTCAGGGCTGCTGCCATTCTGAGTAGACAATAGTGACCTTGATGGACTAATGTTCCAATTCATTAGAAGATAACTTTATCTGTACCACTGTGAGTTTTCTCTTGTAAAACTGGTCAACATTGCCATTACTCCTCTTCGGTGTCACTCTACAGCCTGAAGCCTTCCTTCCTTCCTTCCTTCCTTCCTTCCTTCCTTCCTTCCTTCCTTCCTTCCTTCCTTCCTTCCTTCCTTCCCTCCTTCCCTCCTTCCCTCCCTCCTTCCCTCCTTCCTTCCCTCCT